AATGAAATATAAAATAAATTTGAATTTTTCAAAAGATGAAATTTGCTTAAAACTCTACTAAAAAATGTTAAAATTAAATTTAACTATTGTGTAATTTGAGTAATCAATTCTCGCGGGATATATGATTTAGACTTTTTTGTTCACTTTATTACTTTTAAACGACTTGTATGCTTGCTATACACTTTTTTAATGAACAACAGGCTGACATCATTTGTATAAGTTTAGTGGCCAAAATTCAACCATTTCAAACTTTAGTGAGCAATTAAAGACTTTTTCAAAATTTAGTAGGCAATTGATAACGTTTTCATAGTTTAGTGAGCGATGAAAGATGTTTTAAATTTTTAGTTGTCAAAATTCGATCTCCACAAAGTTTCGTAAGCAATCGAAGACATGTGACAGGGAGTCACATGTACATTTCGATAGCCATGTCACTAATTCTGTTAAAGGTTTGGAACAAATGTTATGCGAGTGAGTAACGTCCAATGTTTGGAAAAGTTTGGTAGCCAAAACTCAACATCTTAAAATTCAACGAGTAATAAAAAACATAGACATAAGTTCAATGATCATTGGGACAACCATCAATGCTTTTTTTTTTTTTTTGTCCTATTCAAATGTAAATGAAAAATTAATTAGAGACAAAAAAAGACATCTAAATCAAAATTGTTGTTTTATTCCTTTCATCGTTAAGCACACAATATGGTCTATTTCAATGTTGCACAACTAAAAAATCTTTATCTTTCATAATAATATGAGTAATTTTTATACGTGATATTTCAATGTGTGTGTGTGTTTGAAAGTAAAATTATCTTCTGTATACACGTTCCAACAAAAATTAAAAACTAAAATTTATTCTCAAAACAAGAGATAAAAATATCCAAATTTTACGTATAGAAATCTGTATTTTGTTTTTGCGATCCACTTCATTCATTTACAAAAAATTTGAATAAATTTAGATAGTTATTAGTTTGGATTGGTTACACGATCATATAAGTCATGTTGTATTTTTAAATAACAAGCCTTCCATTTTCTATTTCAATTTATATTATAGAAAATTAGTGTGCCTCGGAATCCCTGACGATTAAATAAACCAAGATTTTACCATGACTATAATTTTAGAGAGATGCGAAAGCGAAAGCCTATGGGTTCGCTTTTATAACTGGATAACCAGCATCGAAAACCTTCTTAACATTGGATGGTTTTGTGTTTTGATGATCCCTATCCATTAATTATTTTATAATTCATTCAACTTAATTATCAACACATTCATTAAAAGATTTAATACATATAACTTGGAAGAAGATAATTAAGTGACTTTTTTAGTTTTATTTAAACATTATATTTCCTAAGTAATTATAAACAAAGCAATAATTATTAGTAGAACAGAGATTTCAAAAGAGAAATCGTTGTCCAGAACACTAGTCTTCAATACAAAATCTCACTAGTTCTTAATACATAAACGTATTTAAATCCCTCAATAGGGAAACTTGTGACAAACAAGTTTGTACTCTAGATTAAGTTTTTTAGCACACAAACACAGAGGGCACACATTCTAAACTAATAAGGAATATATTACTTGTATATAATGCGACATCCATAATGGTATCTATCGCCTCACATGGAGAATGACCCACTTCGAATAAATTATATTTTATTCAAAGTGGATCTTCTCCATATAAGAGGAGTGAACACCATTATGGATACTCTAATATTCGTGTAGTATCACCAACTAATAAACATTAAATATCGAAAATTGAAGCCCCCCTTCAGTGTATATATATATATATATATATATATATATATAT